GTGTTTTGCTGGCCGATTCATTGCACTAAAATCACGAAATCGACAGTCCCTTCCCTGAATAATTACGCCTTGTGGCTGGCAGTATTGTGGTGGCGTCAATCTCGCAAATCAGGCTTTTCGCTTTAATGGCCTGCGGGCATAATTGAAATTTCTTGTATTTTCACCAGGCAACAAAGCGTTTTGTTCCAAGGCGAACGGAAAATGCTGTGGAAATTTAAATGAACTAGTCGGGATCAGTTTCCAAGCTTTAACTAGCCAGTCTGGCGCGTATAAACGGCGGTTTCTTTGCGACGTCTATAGACTGAAGTCTGTTCGGTCTAATCGCTTTTGCAGGAGCATTAAATTGGGGAATTTTCGCGAAAAATGCCAGGTTTCTGATGTTTAGCAAGCAGGAGTGGCTGCGCTGGAGGTGGTTTTTTGAGAAACAGCTGCCAAACTGGCCCAAACAAACCGGAAAGTCCGAACAATGTTTTTCAGATTTTTCCTCTAACCGTTTTTTCCGACTCGTTTTTTCCTAAGTAAATTTTCCTGCAAAAACCGTTAGTTAGAGTGGATTCTAAACTTTTTCCAACAAATCTGATGCTTTCGAAAAAATCCCACTATCGCTCTTAAAATTGCGGATGTTTTATCAAGAGCAAAATTTTTCCTTAGAAAACTTGGTTTTCGAGTAAAAAAATCAAACAATGAAATTTGTGTAGAATCCTTATACCCACCGAAATTTTGTCCAGAAAATGTTGTTAGAATCTCCAAAATTTTCCTGCACAGATAGATATGGACAAAATACGTGCCTCCAAGAGTGCAGAAGTCTTCCGAAAAAAGCCAAAAACGTACTGCAGACTCTTATGGGATCCCAAATCTTAGAAGAAAAATGAAAAATTCTTCTTAGCTCGTTTTTATGCACTTTGCAGTTTAGGAGATAATTGATTTTTTTTAAACAAAAAGTTTTTTTCGCCTTTTTTCAAACCATGTTCTAACGCTTTCAAAAAATTTTGCACGAAATTCCGGTGATTTTATAAAGAGCAACATTTTTCCCTAAGAAGCTTGGTTTTCCGGAAAAAATGAAATAGTGACCCCAACAACTTTCTATGGGTGTTGCAGCCCAGTTTGAGAATTTCAACTATTCTCCCTTAAAATCATCATTGAAAATTGAGCGTTTTTCCTCTATTAGTGTTGTGAGCTTCAATTTGTTCACAAGTTTCTTCTCTTTCTGGCGAGTCTTTAAGTCTAAGTTTAAGTCTAAAATCGCAGAATTTGGTTCATAATTGCTTCATAATTTTCCGCAGGTTGCATGTAAAAAATTGTTCCTTTCAATACAGCCAAATTAGAAGAATTTTTTCAATGCTGTTAGATAAAGGGGAAACTTTCGATCTGTTAGTGTTGCAAATATCAAATTTTGTCTTCCTTTCCTCGATTTTTAGTAAATTTTTATACTAGAATTTCAACTTTTGCTTCCACAAAGTTCGGCAGTTCTTCAGGTCAACAGTTATCAAATCAAAGACACAAATCCAGTCATTTTTAGCTTCCTCATTCTCAATTTCCTCAATAATGTTCCACGACAGTTTCAACCAAAAAAATCACTTAAACGCCAAAGAAATGGGGGAAAAACCCAATCGAAATCTAGCAGTATCGTTTAGGTAGAGAGCGGTGGTTTTTCGAACGCATTATATTCCCTTTATCGAGGTTTAGTGGAATTAACTAAACCGCTTTAACGGTTCAGTTGCTTTTTGTTCACCTGAGGCCGTAAGAACGGATTCGTGCTTTCATATTTAAATGCGAAAACGGCCGTAATAAAGTCACAAAGACGGTTATGAGGCATAAATATTCCAGAGATGGGAAAAGTTTCCTTAAAACTCCAGCTTGAGGGTGATATGAAAGGCTAATAAAGACCACTTGAGTTTGGCGAGATGAAGTTTGTTTTTGCGCAAAGTTCGGTGTATTTTTTATCGACAATACACTTTTCTTGACAAATTTTGTAGGAGTGGAACAACGTTCCGCTCATCATTTAACGTCTACAACGACCTAATAATCCATTGTACAGTAATCAGCAATTTCGCCACTAATTGCCATCCACACGAACACCGAGAATAAGAGCCGATCGGTGTAGTATATTTTTCCATTATCCATTAATGGCTCAAAGTCAGGGTTGAATGCGATGATTTTTTGGTTCAACCGCAGAAGAGCCCAAGTCGTAATGCATTTTTCCCGTTGGCAAATTTACCGCAAAATTCAGCTGGACGAAGCAGTTCTATGCGGGTTGAATCAATTTAAATATAAAGCGATAAAATTGCAAACTTTCCAGCTCCGCGATGTCCATTTTAAACCGTTTCTAAAAGAAAGACTCCGCCTGGCGAAAGCGAAATCTATGTAAATTCCGGTAAAATATTGTTATGCACTCAACTCACTTTGTGCTATTTTTATGCTTTGTATTGTAAGTGTCTTTGTTAGCGTCTAATTTAAGTCTGCCACATTTTAAACTACAATTAACACCAGAGTTTTTCTCTATTTTTATTTGTAATTGTATATACTTTCCTGACTGTGTTTCAATTCCAAATCAAATTCATTCCTGGGTTTCAGTCATTTATTGTCTCTATTTATCAATCAAAATACGTTTCGGTGTATTTTTCCACTATCATCAGTTTTTATGTGTAGCGTTGTTGCTGCCTTAAAAATTCGCATTTAAGCCTCTCACTTTCTACTCTCTTAAGATCAATGTTTTCCAAAAAAAATCAAATTTCTCAAAATGCCCAAAACAAGGTAAATTTGCATAATTCAGAAGCTCCTTGGGTCAAAAGCAGTCATAAACTCGCATGTGAAATGTTGATTTTTTTTCTGGAAATTTCATAAGGTGGCAGTCCACGTTTTAAAAAAGTCAAATTTCTCAAAATTGCCCGAACACCGTAAATTTTAATAATTGGAAAGTTCCTTAGATCGAAAGCAGCCAAAAACTCGTACGTAAAATTTTGATTCTTTTGTTGAAAATTTCATAACGTAAAGGTCGATGTTTTCGAAAAATTAAAATTTCTCAAAATGCCCTAAAGTAAGTAAGTTTGTAAAAGTCGAAAGCTCCTTAGGCCGAATGCAGTCGAAAACTCGCACTTGAAATGTCGGTTTTTTTGCTAGAAATTTCATAAGGTGGATATCGACGTTTTCGAAAAAAAATGAAATTTCTCAAAACTCCCCAAACAAAGTAAGTTTGCATAATTCAGAAGCTCCTTGGATCGAAAGCAGTCATAAACTCGCATGTGAAATGTTGATTTTTTTTCTGCAAATTTCATAAGGTGGCGGTCTACGTATTAAAAAAAATCAAATTTCTCAAAATGGCCCGAACACCGTAAATTTTCATAATTGGGAAGTTCCTTAGATCGAAAGCAGCCAAAAACTCGTACGTAAAATTTTGATTCTTTTGCTGAAAATTTTATAACGTAAAGGTCGATGTTTTCGAAAAATTAAAATTTCTCAGAATGCCCCAAGCAAAGTAAGTTTATAAAATTCGGAAGCTTCTTAGGCCGAATGCAGTCGAAAACTCGCATGTAAAATTTCGATTTTTTTGCTAGAAATTTCATAAGGTGGAGATCGATGTTTTCAAAAATAATCAAATTTCTCAAAATGCCCAAAACAAAGTAAATTTTCATAATTGAGAAGCTTCTTGGATCGAAAGCAGTCAAAAACTCGCATGTAAAATGTTGGTGATGATGGTGGAAAAATACACCGAAACATATTTTGATTGATAAATTGAGACAATAAATGACTGAAACTCAGGAATGAATTTGATTTATTTGTAATTTATGAGAGCGCTGCGAGAACAGAGTGAACCAAATAAACACTATTAGAATGAGCAACATTAACACTGAAGATTGATTAAAAAATATGCAAAAATATGCAAGTTAGAAGAAATATCTAAAGAGTTTGGCTTCGCGGCAGTTGTTTGATACTGGTGAGTTTTTGGAAAGCGACGGCCTAAAAACAGACTGTCTTTTTTTCGTCGAAATTTCACATATTTTTTAATAATTTCTGGCCCCTGTTGGATGTCCAAACCAGAGAAAACCGCCAGCTACGTAAATAGACACAGCAACAACCATGTAGGATTAGCATTAAGTTTATACCAAGTTCAAACTCGCTAACTAATCTCATAATGGAGGTTCTTGGGATGTGTGTTAAGCATACTGACGGCAGCATGTCAAGATAGCATCCTTTGAGGACTTAGTTTTACTTTGTTGTTCCATAAACACGTTTAGCATCGGGTCTGGAATTATGATTAATTTTCTCATAAGTGAATCGTCCTTAAATGAGTGAAAAATCTCAAATGAAAATGCTTGCGCCAGCGAAAACTATACAACTGGTACTGGGCGATTTTGTCTTAAGCAAGATGGTGAATAAAGCAATTTTGTCTTAAGCATGTTATTTGGGAAATGTTGCGGCTACTGACGGATTATATCCTTTGAGGTCCAATTTCCAACATGAACTAGCAGTTATTTACATGTTTTTATAAATATCGTGTTAGGCTTATTGTGGCTCTTTAATGGCTGTTAAAGCTTTAATATCGGGGCCGAATTATTGCATTTGCTCGACAATGTGCAAACGGCATTTCACCGGCTCTGGAGGCCTGATTGAGCCATTGTCCACTATGCGTTTGTGTTCGTTAATCTATCGGGATTATCATCAGTAGCCACGATCAATATGCATATAAAGGAATGGAAAACGGGGCGCTAATTTTCCAATTTTTGGCCCAAACTTGAAGAAAAATCCATCAGACATCTAGGCAAATCTCCGAGGATCTTTTTCTTCAAAAATTCTTTGCAATCGTCATGGTAAGCAAGCGCGGAATGCAGCGCCAGTTGAAATAAAGAGAAAGAAAACCACAAAAGATTTCAGTTGCAATAGACGCTTTTGTCGCTTGAAAACTCTTCTAGAAGTTTATCCTTTCTAATTTCCTTGTGGGAGTTTAAGGCTTTAGATCCCATTTATTATTCAATGGAATTATCTCAGGATGTCTTTTTCAGATTCTGTAATCCTTCCAAAGGACTTTCCAGCTCGTTAGCGTTCAGGCGTCTTCGAACTGCTTCAATATGGTGATTAATCCGGCCTCGTTTTCCTTAGGTGAGTCTAACTATGATTATTCCAAAAAATATTCCAAATCTAGTAGGAGCCTTAATAACTGTCCTCTATAGCACAATGCCGAATGTAAATTAAGTACATATCAGGCTTATAATAAAGGCAACCGCCAAAAGTATAAAAAGAGCTATTCGCAGTATTTCCCAATAGAGAGAGGAAATATAATGAAGTTATCAAGCGCAAACGACCTGAATGACACGCAATTTTTCGAAATTATTCTGAACATTAATCGTGAAACCACCAGCGGAAATATGGAAATGCGCTCGTGGAAGTTATTGCATGAATTCCAAATAAAACGTACAAATAATAGAATGTTCTTACTTGCATTTCGGCTCAAATTGAAGTTGGAGCGCTATAAAGTGTTGGCTAGACGCTCCAGTTGGAATTTTCCTCGAACATATCAAATAGCAGGAAAGTGCACGGTTTTATTTTAAAACATAATAACCAGTCGTTGTTCCTCTTAATGTTATCAAGCCATGGGCTAAGAAAAGTTCGCCTTTCCCACTTTACCACTAGTAATTTTTGTTTTTAATTCTTTCGAAGTTGGGAATGTGGGAAGAAACTTAATTAGTGAAATGCAGTTTTTCCGATCTTTTGCCCCGAAGGCTATACAGCGGTATTTTGAATTGCTTCAGACAATCGCCTAAAATTTCGCATTTAAGCCTCTCACTTTCTACTCTCTTAAGATCGATGTTTTGAAAAAAAAATCAAATTTCTCAAAATGCCCAAAACAAGGTAAATTTGCATAACTGAGAAGCTCCTTGGATCAAAAGCAGTCATAAACTCGCATGTGAAATGTTGATTTTTTTTCTGGAAATTTCATAAGGGGGCGGTATACGTTTTAAAAAAATCAAATTTCTCAAAATGGCCCAATCACCGTAAATTTTAATAATTGGAAAGTTCCTTAGATCGAAAGCAGCCAAAAACTTGTACATGAAATTTTCATTTTTTTGCTGAAAATTTCATAACGTAAAGGTCAATGTTTTCGAAAAATTAAAATTTCTCAAAATGCCCTAAAGAAAGTAAGTTTGTAAAAGTCGGAAGCTCCTTAGGCCGAATGTAGTCGAAAACTCGCATCTGAAATTTCGATTTTTTTGCTAGAACTTTCATAAGGTGGAGATCGATGTTTTCGAAAAAAAATGAAATTTCTCAAAACTCCCCAAACAAAGTAAGTTTGCATAATTCAGAAGCTCCTTGGATCGAAAGCAGTCAACAACTCGCATGTGAAATGTTGATTTTTTATCCTGAAATTTCATAAGGTGGCGGTCTACGTTTTTGAAAAAATCAAATTTCTCAAAATGGCCCAAACACCGTAAATTTTCATAATTGGGGAGTTCCTTAGATCGAAAGCAGCCAAAAACTCGTATGTGAAATGTTGATTTTTTTGCTAGAAATTTCGTAAGGTGGAAATCGATATTTTCGAAAAAAATAAAATTTTTCAAAATGCCCCAAACAAAGTAAGTTTGTAAAATTCGGAAGCTCCTTATGCCGAATGCTGTCGAAAACTCGCATGTGAAATTTTGATTTTTTTGCTGACAATTTCATAACGTAAATGTCAATGTTTTTGAAAAATTTAAATTTCTCAAAATGGCCCAAACAAAGTAAGTTTGTAAAATTCGGAAGCTCCTTAGGCCGAATGCAGTCGAAAACTCGCATGTAAAATTTCGAATTTTTTGCTAGAAATTTCATCAGGTGGTGATCGATGTTTTAAAAAAAAATCAAATTTCTCAAAATGCCCAAAACAAAGTAAATTTGCATAATTGAGAAGCTTCTTGGATCGAAAGCAGTCAAAAACTCTCATGTGAAATGTTGATTTTTTGCTGGAAATTTCATAAGGTGGCGGTGTACGTTTTAGAAAAAATCAAATTTCTCAAAATGGCCCAAACACCGTAAATTTTCATAATTGGAAAGTTCCTTAGATCGAAAGCAGCCAAAAACTCGTATGTGAATTTTTGATTTTTTTGCTGAAAATTTCATAAGGTAAAGGTCGATGTTTTCGAAAAATAAAAATTTCTCAAAATGCCCCAAACAAAGTAAGTTTGCATAATTGAGAAGCTCCTTGGATCGAAAGCAGTCAAAAACTCGCATGTAAAATGTTGATTTTTTTGCTGGAAATTTCATAAGGTGGCGGTCTACGTTTTCGAAATAATCAAATTTCTCAAAATGGCCCAAACACTGTAAATTTTCATAATTGGAAAGTTCCTTAGATCGAAAGCAGCCAAAAACTTGTATGTGAATTTTTGATTTTTGTGCTGAAAATTTCATAAGGTAAAGGTCGATGTTTTCGAAAAATAAAAATTTCTCAAAATACCCCAAACAAAGTAAGTTTGTAAAATTCGGAAGCTCCTTAGGCCGAATGCAGTCGAATACTCGCATGTGAAATTTCGATTTTTTTGCTGACAATTTCATAACGTAAAGGTCAATTTTTTCGAAAAATTAAAATTTCTCAAAATGCCCCAAACAAAGTAAGTTTGTAAAATTCGGAAGCTCCTTAGGCCGAATGCAGTCGAAAACTCGCATGTAAAATTTTTTTGCTAGAAATTTCATAAGGTGGAGATCGATGTTTTAAAAAAAATCAAATTTCTCAAAATGCCCAAAACAAAGTAAATTTGCATAATTGAGAAGCTTCTTGGATCGAAAGCAGTCAAAAACTCGCATGTGAAATGTTGATTTTTTTGCGGGAAAGTTTATAAGTTTATCTACGTTTTCGAAAAAATCAAATTTTTCAAAATGGCCCAAACACTGTAAATTTTCATAATTGGAAAGTTCTTTAGATCGAAAGCAGCCAAAAACTCGTATGTGAAATGTTGATTTTTTTGCTAGAAATTTCATAAGGTGGAGATCGATATTTTTGGAAAAAATAAAATTTCTCAAAATGCCCCAAACAAAGTAAGTTTGCATAAGTGAGAAGCTGCTTGGATCGTAAGCAGTCAAAAACTCGCATCTGAAATGTTGATTTTTTTGCTGGAAATTTCATAAGGTTGCGGTCTACGTTTTCGAAAAAATCAGATTTTTCAAAATGGCCCAAACACCGTAAATTTTCATAATTGGAAAGTTCCTTAGATCGAAAGCAGCCAAAAACTCTTATGTGAATTTTTGATTTTTTTGCTGAAAATTTCATAACGTAAACGTCGATGTTTTCGAAAAATTAAAATTTCTCAAAATGCCCCAAACAAAGTAAGTTTGTAAAATTCGGAAGCTCCTTAGGCCGAATGCAGTCGAATACTCGCATGTGAAATTTCGATTTTTTTGCTGACAATTTCATAACGTAAAGGTCGATGTTTGGGAAAAATTAAAATTTCTCAAAATGCCCCAAACAAAGTTAGTTTGTAAAATTCGGAAGCTCCTTAGGCCGAATGCAGTCGAAAACTCGCATGTAAAATTTCGATTTTTTTGCTAGAAATTTCATAAGCCCCAAAACAAAGTAAATTTGTGTAATTTAGAAGCTCCTTGGGTCGAAAGCAGTCAAAAACTCGCAGGTGAAATTTTGACTTTTTTGCTAGAAATCGATCTTCTATCAAAAAAATCAAATTTCCCAAACGGCCCAAACACCGTAAATTGCATAGTGCGGAAACTCGCATGTGAACTCAACATTAGCTGGGGAAAAACCGTTTATGAGACGCTCTATCGAAACTGCAGGATTTTGCCTACTCGTATGTCCCAAGCAAGCATTTCACGGAGCGATTTCGAACCCATCAGTCCTGATCAACTAAACCTGAACTTTTTGTGCTTTTTTGCTGGCCATCTTCAAAATTGTGCCATTCATTCATTCACCCAAAAATTTTCAAATGTCGCTTGTATATAGAGGATTGTATAATAATCAGACGCTATTTCATGTGAAGCTTCGCCCCATCAGTCGCAAAAGAGTCTCCCGCGGGAAAAACCGGTCGTCTAACAAACGTCTGTTGCTTTCAAACCAACTTCCAGCTCTGCTCCTAATTGTAGCATAGATTTTCAATCCGCACCATCAAACTTCCTTTTGAAATGGCTGCAAATAGAAGGTTTGCAGGAAGGATATTAAATTATCCCGCCGTGTTGCTAACTAACTTTAACGGAAACTTCCTGCTCCGTCTCCGAATCAATACGATTCCTGCTGGCAGGTGCGACATGTGGCATAGTGGTTGGGGAGTCGAGAAAACACCAAAAGCCCAAAAGCAAAAGGCGAAAGTCGTCGGGAGGGGGTTTGGGATAATCCTACAAGCGACATTGTTAAACGCGTTGGTCGGATTTGCGGATTAACGCTTAACAAATGTGCTTGAAGACTCCGTTTGGCTCAAACTATTCTGCTGCAAACTCTTCCTTGAGCGGCAATGTTCAAGTCCCAAAATGTTTTCACAAAGTGAGTGGTTTGGGGTTTTTCGTACCCCTGCCATACTTATCGGCAATTTTCCTCTCTCGACCGTCGAAGGGAAATTAAATGAATTGACGTCAACCGTAAAATCCGTAATTCGATTAATAAGTCTAATACCGCTAATGGGATGACTTTTATTCCACTCTGCCCCATCGGCTTCCCACAGACGTTTGGCAATGTGGATTTATCTGGTCAGAATTAAAATAAACTAATCGAATTTTGCATATTCATCTGGCTACTTCCGGCAGCGGTTAGTCGCGCAAAAGTCCACTTTATTGGGAGTGGAATAAGCAGCAAAGTGCCAGTTAATTTCGAATCGAAACAAAGTGGTCCATTTATCGGGTTTATGTTGCTGAACTACCCACAATGGCCGTTTTCGCCTCCGGAAGGAAATCGCTGACCCGACGTGGCGTTCAAATTGTTAGCCGAAACTGGATGGTTTCGCCTCAGCCTCTGTCAAATAGTCGCTATCTGGCAAAATATACACAAGTCACAATGATGCAAATAAAGCGATTGTCTCAAGCGCAAATATCCCTAGAAATGTTATTTCACGATCTCCTTTCGAGTTGCCACTCGAGGCGAAACTGTTTTGTGAACTCTAGACACTCTGCAATTGAACAGAATGGACGCTTGT